TTTAAAACATCATTTTCATTTAGGCTTAATATGCAGCTAGTAGAAAAAAAATTTAACCCAGTATCCTTTATCACATAACTGGCTTATACTTAATAAATTATGTTTTAAGCCTTCTACCATTAATATATTTTCAATGAAAAAATTCTTAAGATTTTCAATCATACCTGACCCAACCACCTTCCTTGTGGTGTTATCTCTAAGTGTAACCTTGCTTCCACTCCTGGCTTCCAGCGATATGAATTGTGTGTTAAGAGAGTTGCTATTAGCATGTTTTACATTCTTGCAACTTATATAATTTTGATGATTCCTATTATTATTATTATTTTATGTGTAGTTATCTCCTAACACTTTTTAGAAGATTTATTTTTGCTCTTATGTGTACTATTATTTCAGGAAAATTGAACTCTAAACTATGAATACTTCAAATCAAATTCAGCATGCAATTCTTTGCAAATTGAAGCTTTAAATTGTTCTTTGAAATGAGAGGGAGTGATTATAATTGAGTGAATAAAAACACACACACATTTAAGGAGATCTTACAAAATTTGTACTGATCGTACGGGACGATCAGGTCAGTTATCTCCTCGTAGGAGCAATGGAACGAACAGGAGTTGAAGAAATTTTTTGAAGTCCTGGTCGTCCAGGATGACATCATTTTCGTCCCAGGATGAGTTAGGCTCTGTAAAAATTTTGTTCAGACGAAATCTATAATCGTGCTAGGACGACTTTGGATCTATAAAAATTTCGTCCAGACGAAATCCAAATCGTCCCAGGATGAATTCTTCTCTGTAAAAATTTCGTTCAGATGAAATTCATTATCGTGTCATGACGAGTTGTTCTCTATAAAAATTTCGTCTGGATGAAGTCCTGTTCATCCCAGGATGTTGTGAACCGACTTACCACAGTTGGTTACATCCTGCAATTATTTGGGAATCGACCTATGATATAATTGATCGTACCGGACGATCCTAGTTCGTACGGGACGATGATCGTGTACGAACATAGTTTGTACAAATATACATAAGGATCATTTCTGACACTTTAAGTAAAATTGTCCAGGACGATCCATTTCGTGATGACTTGAAAAATTTGCAGTTTTGGACAGTTTTTCTTGTTTCTCCTATATATAGTCCAATTTAGACTGCCACCAAATCTTTTTGCCTTTTTATCTTCATGACTATTGAAAGAAGAGTCAAGGAGAGAGTGAAAGAGAGCATTCAAAGGAGGATTCCTACCACTGGAGTGTGAAGACTTCGCTTAGTGTTCAAAGGTAAGAATCTCTACTTGTGATTTGGGATTACTTCACTCTTTTCTTTCTTTCATCTAGATTTCTTGTGAGGAGATTTGTCAAGGAGATCTGGTTATCTGCCGACATTTGGAGAGTGTGAACAGCCGAGGGGTTCTCTGCCCACACTAGAAGAGTGTGAAAGGATGAAGGGTTCTCTGCCCACACTACGAGAGTATGAAAGGACGAAGGGTTCTCTTCTCACACTAGGAGAGTGTAAAAGGATGGATGGTTCTCTGCCAGCACTGGGGATAGTGTAAAAGGAAGACGATTCTCTGTCGCAATGGGTAGTGGTGGAAAGAGTTTTTGTAAAGGCTTCTCCGCCTTGCTGTGGGTGCAAAAGGAGAGTCACTAGTGTTATTAGTGCAATACTCGGAGGGTGCCTCTGGGGAGTGGATGTAGGTCTGGTTTTGACCGAACCACTATAAATCTGGTGTTCTTTACTTTTTTTGCTTTTTATTTTCTTTATCATTTACAACTTGTGGTTGAAAAATGTTTTTCTAAAAAATTTACTAATAATTAAGTTTTAATTTCCAAAGTTTATAAAGAGGGTTTAAATTTTTTAATTATCAATTCCCCCCCCCCCCCTCTTTGTTAGCCACTGGGACATAAGCTTAGGTTTAACAACCAAATTCATTGTGAATGAATCTCAACATTATGCAGTATCTTCAGTTATATGCTTTGAGCATCCACTGTTCAGATACCATATGTTGTCACGTGATCTTGTATGAGAGGAACCCTCTTCTTGATCTGACTGATCAAGACTATTGGCCATTAAGCATAGATTAGTGACTTCCTCTTTCTTTTCAGTCTCCGATGAGTCTAAAGCTGAGTCCGCCCAAAAAGCTTTTTGGAACTTCTTCTTTCCCTTCTTTATAATTAGTTTCTCCTCTACCTTATCCTTGCTAGGAGTGACTTTGAGTTTTGGGCAGTCTGTCTTAATATGTCCATATTTCCTGCACTTATAGCAAATAACATCAATTGAAACCTTCATATTTCTATTAAATTTACCTTAATTCCATTGCTGGCGTCTCTTCTGCTTCATCTTTAGAAAGCTTTTGAATTGTCTAGCATTAGTGCGATGTCATCTTCATCCTCTTGTTGTGAGTGTTCACTCTCAAACTCCTCCACTTTTAGTGCTATGTTCTTCTCCCTTCGTGGTTCACCTGCATCAATCTTTCTTTGGCTAACTCCTTGCTCGTAAGCAATTAGTGATCCAAGAAGATTATCAATAGTGTAAATATTTAGATCTTTAGACTCTGTAATTATAGTAATTTTAACATCATAAGCAGTAGGCAAACAACGAAGTATCTTATTAACAATTTCAGCATTCGTTAGTTTCTTACCTAATGTATGTAAAGAGGTAACTATTTGTATGAATCTTGTGTACATATTAGAAATGGATTCATTTGGTTTCATGCGAAATAATTCATAATAATGCAACAATATATTAAGTTTAGATTGCTTGTAACATCAAATCTGCTCCAGGATCGTCCAGGCCGATCTGGATCATCCTGGGACGATCAGTTGTAAATCTGTTCCAGTTTTGTGTCCATAAGTTACAGGAAAATTTCCTGTATGGATCGTCCAGGCCGATCTGGGATCATCCCAAGACGATCAGTGTATGGCAAAAGTCAGACAGCAAATCGTCCTGGAAATTAATTATCGTCCTGCGAAATCGTCCCAGGACGATGTGGATTTTGTTCAGATCGTCCAGGACGATCGTGCGATCGGCCAGGCTGATCAGATCATTTTAAAGCTGAAATCAGCTCATTTTGAAGAGAGAGAAAATCAAAATAAATATCTAATTTCAGCCGAGGAGAGAGAAGGTTGAGGACAATATTGGAAAAGTTGATTTTCGGGCGATGCCGGGCCGTTTTTGTCCGTCGTGACAGTTCAAGAAAGTGGTGTACGCAAGGTAAGGCACATTCCTCCTTTCTCAATTTTCAGAACGGTGAAGTTTGAACAAGTTTTCTGTCCGGATTTCATTTTCGTTAGCGAATTTTATCCGTATTTTCCGATTGGTTCAGTTTTTACCGTGTAACTTTTGGTATGTTTCTAAGGTGTCTAGTTTGCACATTTTGATTATTTTCTGGAGAATTTTGACCGGGTATTTTTTATTCCGCGGTGTTTTCTTTCGACTAAAAATTTTGACGATGTCTAAAAATGTTGTGGCAGTAGAATAAAAGTCTTATATTATTGTTGTGAATGTTCTGTGGTAATTTGGTGAAATTCTGTTTCGGTGAATTTTTGTGTAAATTCCGTATACTGCCGTTACGCTGCCGGATTTTCGTACAATTTCTGAATTTGTTCTGAATTGAATTAATTATTCGTATGCTATTGAGAGCCATAAGGGGAAGGTGCTGTAAGCACAAGGGAGCTATAAGGGGAAGTTCTGAAATTTTGTATATCTGTTATGTTCTAGTGCTATGAGCACAATTGGGAGCTATAAGGGGAAGTTCTGGTGCTGTACGCAAAAGGGAGCTATAAAGGGAAGTTCTGGTGCTGTATGCACAAGGGAGATATAAGAGGAAGTTCTGAAATCTGGAAGGAAGATCTGTTCTGAAATATCTATTCTTATTCTGATTTGATATTTTCTGAATTGATATATTCTGATACGTTTCTGATATGATTTGATTCTGATTTCTATACGATTCTGTCTGTTCTGATATGACCTCTGATCTGATATGATTTCATCTGATTTTTTATTTCTGTACGTTCTGTCAGCTCTGATGTGATGTATGTTTGTTCTGTTCTGATTTGATTCGATCTGTATGATTTCTGTTCTGATTTGCTCAGTACGATTCTATTGATCTGATTTATGTTCGGATTTCTGTCTGATGTGTTTGATGTGGACTCTGAGGGTTTTGATTGGAGGTTTGTTGTCTTGCTGAGCTGTGTAGCTCATCCTTGTTTTCTGCGTGGTTTTCAGGTTCTGGGAAAGGGAAGGAAGTCCAGGAATAGAAGTTCAGAGTCTGATCCAGCATAGGTATTTTTGTACTTTTGATTTTTGTACAGTCATGGCTTTTCTGTTCTGCTTTTCTTTCTGTCTGAAAGCCATGACCTGTATTTGTACATGATTCTTTTGAGGAAGAAAAAGATAGATGATATGTTCCGCTTCATTTGATGTTTATAGTAGCTCTGTGTATCTATTTTTGTCTATATGTTTGGAAGAAAGTTCTGAAATAAATTCCAAAGCCAGATCCTCGAATCCGTTCAGTCAGTCTGAAAGTTAAGGCACCCACGATCCGGTGCGAGCGAGACCCGTCCCGGTCGGGTCGTGACAAGCCTTTTTGGTGGTATCAGAGCAGTGGTTTTGGAATTTGGAATTTGGATTGTAAGACAGAGCTATAGGAAGTGATCTGAGTCTGTCTGGGATAGTTTTGGTTTGTCTGGATTTTTATTGTGTTGTTTTTGTGATTAGTTTTCTAGATTTTCTGTATGGATCTGCCAGACCCCAACATGACAGACGGTCAGAGTGCCAGTCAGGCAGCACCAGTGGGTAGTACAGCCCCAGTGGTTGGTGCAGATACACTTTCCCAGTTTACTTCATTGGTTGCTCAGATGATGAGCGAGACACACAGTAGAGCTTCTACTATTCGATTTGAGGATATTGATAGATATCTTCAGATGTTTCTAAGATTGAAACCTCCGAGGTTTGAGGGCGCTGTTGTGCCCAGAGTGACTGAGGAGGTTAGAGAAGACTTTTGACGGCATGCAGTGTCCATCAGACAGGAAGGTACATTTGGCAGTATTTCTGTTGGATGGGGAAGCTGAGTACTGGTGGGTAGGCCAGCAGGAGGCCAAGTTTCAGGGCAGATTGAACTCTTTGATTACTTGGGAAGAGTTTACTGAGGCATTCCGAGATTGGTTTGTTCCCCCATCTACCGTGCAGCAGATGCAGGAGAGTTTTCTGAGGCTGGTTCAGGGGAGCAAGACAGTGATGCAGTATGTGGCAGAGTTTACTGCCTTAGCCCGATATACTCCGCAGCTGGTGAGTACTTCTGCTGCGAAGTGCTACCATTTTCTAAGGGGACTACGAGACAGTTTGAGGCAGCCCCTGGTACCATTTCACATTTCTGATTTCTCTGAGCTTGTTGAGAGAGCTCATCTGATAGAGAACGATCTGATAGCTACTCAGCAGCGGTGGACTGCGAGTAGGAAGAGGTTTGGGGGTGATGCTTCTGGTAGCAGTTCCTCTGGTAAGAGGAGATTCGTTTCTGGTTCTGGAGACTCCAGGAAGAGTGGACAGTCAGAATTTTCTGGTACTGCTACGCCTAGTACGACTAGTTCTGGATCTGTTAGTGGGGCACCTGGGTGCCAGAGTTGTGGACGACGGCATTTTGGCCAGTGCTACAGGATGACTGGTCAGTGCTTCAGATGTGGTCAGCCAGGACATCGGATTGCAGAGTGTCCACAGGCTGGGTTTGATCGACGATCTAATTTCCGATCTGAGGGATTTGTTAGACCTGCCGGTTTAGTAGGAAGATCGAGGACTGTTCCTCCACGCCCTGTTTCTAAGGGATTTTCTGGTAGAGGTGGTGGTTCGAGTTCTGTACCACGGAGACCACCTAGTGTTAGTTAGAGAGAGCCGAGTAGTTCTGTTGCTTCAGTTCCAGCTCCAGTTCAGTCACGAGTATACAGTCTGAGTCAGCAGAAGGCTCGAGATTCTCTGGATGTGGTGACAGGTATGATTTATATTTCTGATCAGCCCTGTCATGTTTTGTTTGATTCTGGAGCCAGTCACTCATTTTTGTCCGAGCGTTGTTTTGATGCCTTGCATCTGCCTTCGATTTTGTTGCCGGTTTCTCTTTCTGTGATTTTGCCTGCTGGAAGTAATTTGATTGCTCGGAAGTTTTGTTTTTGTGTGGTTGAGATTGCTGGCAAGAAGTGGAAATCAAGTTTGATTTTTTTGCCGATTTCTTTGTATGATGTGATTTTGGGTATGGATTGACTGAGTCTGTATGAGGCCCAGATTGACTGTTTGAAGAAGCAAGTGAAATTGCTTATGTCTGGAGAGAGATGTGTATTCTAAGGCTTACGAGGTGTTCTCTCCAGTCTAATTTCTGTACTGGATGTGAGAAGAATGTGGAAGAAGGGTTGTCCAGTATTTTTGGCTTTGGTGCGGGACATGAACCTGGATGTTGGTTCTGTTTTTGATATCCCAGTGGTACGGGAGTTTGCTGATGTTTTTCCTGAGGAGTTGGTTGGTTTACCTCCGGATAGAGATATAGAGTTCTCTATTGATGTTTTTCCGGGTACAGCTCCGATATCAAAAGCTCCGTACAGGATGGCACCGAAAGAACTTTCTGAGTTGAAAGTTCAACTTCAGGAGTTGATGGATAGAGGATTTGTTCGTCCTAGTGTTTCTCCTTGGGGAGCACCTGTTTTGTTTGTGAAGAAGAAGGACGGAACACTCCGTATGTGTGTTGATTACAGAGATTTGAATAAAGTCACGATTAAGAACAAGTATCCTTTGCTACGGATTGACGATTTGTTTGACCAGCTTTCTGGTTCTTCTATGTTTTCAAAGATTGATTTGAGATCTGGGTACTATCAGGTGAAGGTGAAAGAAGCTGATGTGGAGAAGACAGCTTTCAGTACTCGGTACGGACACTACGAGTTTTTGGTTATGCCTTTTGGGGTAACCAATGCACCTGCTATTTTCATGGATCTGATGAACAGAGTGTTCAGAGAGTACCTAGATCAGTTTGTGATCATCTTCATCGACGATATTCTGGTATATTCTGTTTTTGAGGATGATCATGCCAGATATTTGAACATTGTGTTGGAGACTCTGAGAAGGCATCAGTTGTATGCTAAGTTCTCCAAGTGTGAATTCTGGCTGAACAGCATTTCATTTCTGGGGCATGTGGTTAGCGGTGAAGGCATTTCTATTGATCCCCAGAAGATTCAGGCTTTTGCGGGTTGGCCAAGGCGTACTACGGTATTTGAAGTACGTAGTTTCTTAGGTATGGCTGGATATTACCGAAAGTTTGTGAAAGGATTTTCACATATTGTTACGCCTTTGACGAGACTGACTAAGAAGTCAGTAGCTTTTGTTTGGACACCGGAGTGTGAGGCTAGTTTTCAGAGATTGAAGGATTGTCTGACTTCTGCTCCAGTGTTAGCACTTCCGTCAGGTACGGAAGGATTTCAGGTGTTCAGTGATTCTTCACTGAAAGGTTTGGGATGTGTGCTGATGCAGAATGATTGGGTAATTGCTTATACTTCAAGACAGTTAAAACCACATGAGAAGAATTACCCGACACATGATTTGGAATTAGCTGCAGTTGTGTTTGCTTTGAAGATTTGGCGTCATTATCTGTATGGCGTCAGATGTGATATTTTCACGAATCATAAGAGTTTGAAGTACATTTTCACTCAGAAGGATCTGAATTTGAGGCAAAGAAGATGGCTTGAGTTGATCAAGGATTATGATCTGACGATTAAGTATCAGCCTGGTAAGGCTAATGTGGTAGCAGATGCTCTGAGCAGAAAATCTTCTGGCTTATCAGGTATTCAGCTCACTTTTGATGATTTTCTGATTCAAGATATGGAACGGTTGCAGTTGGAGGTGATTTCCTCTAGTAGTCTGGATTCCAGAGTTTTGACTCAGTTGAGTATTCAGTCTTCGTTGGAAGAAAGGATTCAGGAAGCTCAGAAGTTAGATTCTGATTATTTGACTTTGATTGCTCAGATTGAATCTGGTAAGAAGCCTGATATCCGAATTTCTGATTCTGGTGTTATTTTCTGCAAGAACAGGTTGTGGATTCCTGTGTTTGGAGATTTGAGGAAAGAGATTATGTATGAATCTCATCATTCAGGCTACACTGTTCATCCGGGAAGTGGTAAGATGTATGGAGATATGAAAGGTTTGTTCTGGTGGCCAGGTATGAAAAAGGATGTAGCAGACTTTGTTGCTAGATGCGAAGCCTGTCAGTTGGTGAAGGCAGAGCATCAGCGACCAGGAGGATTTTTACAGTCGTTGCCTATCCCTGAGTGGAAATGGGAGGAGGTAACAATAGATTTTTCTATGGGTTTTCCTCGATCAAGGCAAGGGCACGATGCCATTTGGGTGATTATGGATCGACTGACGAAGTCTGCTCATTTTCTTCCGATTAGACAGACCGATCCGGTGGATCGATTGGCATAGCTATATGTGAAAGAGATTGTCAGATTACACGGTGTGCCTAAGGTGATTGTTTCTGATCGAGATGGACGGTTTACTTCCAGACTTTGGAAGGGTATTCAGCAAGAGTTTGGGTACGAAGTTAAATTTCAGTACAGCTTTTCATCTGTAGACTGATGGACAGTCTGAGAGGACTATTCAGGTACTGGAAGATCTGTTGAGGCTTTGTGTTTTGGATTTTGGAGGAAGCTGGGAAGATCACATTCCTCTGATTGAGTTTGCTTACAATAATAGTTTTCAGGCCAGTGTTGGAATGGCATCGTATGAAGCTCGGTATGGCAGGAAATGTAGAACTCCTTTGACTCTGACTGAGGTTGGAGATAGACAGGAGATGGGTGCCACTTTTGTAGAAGAAATTGTTAAGAAAGTCGATTTGATCAAAGAAAGATTGAAAGCTGCACAAGATCGACAGCAGAAATATTACAATCAGAAGCACAGGTTCTTTGAGTTTTATGTTGGTGACTTTGTGTATGTCAAAGTCAATCCGATGAAGGGTGTGAGCAGATTTGACAGAGTGAGTAAGCTCAATCCAAGGTATATTGGACCTTTTGAAATCCTTGAAAGAATTGGCAAATCTACTTATAGACTGTTACTATCTGATCAGATGTCTGATGTTCACAATGTGTTCCACGTATCTACTTTGAAAAAGTGGATATCTCACTCTGGAAAGAAGGTATCTGCTGATGAGATTGAGATTCAGGAGAATCTGAGTTATACCGAGTTGATTCTAGCTTACGACGTGCGTAAGTTAAGAAGTAAACAGATTCCGATGGTTAAGATGCAATGGAAGCACCGAACTGCACGGGAAGCGACTTGGGAGAAAGAATCAGACATTAGGACGACATTTTTCTGAAGTTGGGGAGATTGTAACATCAAATCTGCTCCAGGATTGTCCAGGCCGATCTGGATCATTCTGGGACGATCAATTGTAAATATGTTCTAGTTTTCTGTCCAGAAGTTACAGGAAAATTTCCTGTATGGATCGTCCAGGCCGATCTGGGATCGTCCCAGGACGATCAGTGTATGGAAAAAGTCAGAGAGCAAATCGTCCTGGAAATTAATTATCCTCCTACGAAATCGTCCCAGGACGATGTGGATTTTGTTCAGATTGTCCAGGACGATCGTGCGATCGGCCAGGCCGATCAGATCATTTTAAAGCTGAAATCAGCTCATTTTGAAGAGAGAGAAAATCAAAATAAATATCTACTTTCAGCCGAGGAGAGAGAAGGTCGAGGGCAATATTGGAAAAGTTGATTTTCGAGCGACGCCGGGCCGTTTTTGTCCGTCGTGACAGTTCAAGAAAGTGGTGTACGTAAGGTAAGGCACATTCTGCCTTTCTCAATTTTTAGAACGGTGAAGTTTGAACTAGTTTTCTGTCCGGATTTCATTTTCGTTAGCGAATTTTGTCCGTATTTTCCGATTGGTTCAGTTTTTACCGTGTAACTTTTGGTATGTTTCTAAGGTGCCGAGTGTGCACATTTTGATTATTTTCTGGAGAATTTTGACCGGGTATTTTTGATTCCGCGGTGTTTTCTTTCGACTGAAAATTTTGACGATGTCTAAAAATATTGTGGCAGTAGAATAAAAGTCTTATATTATTATTGTGAATGTTCTGTGGTAATTTGGTGAAATTTTGTTTCGGTGAATTTTTGTGTAAATTCCGTATACTGCCGTTACGCTGTCGGATTTTCGTACGATTTCTGAATTTGTTCTGAATTGAATTAATTATTCGTATGCTATTGGGAGTCATAAGGGGAAGGTGCTGTAAGCACAAGGGAGCTATAAGGGGAAGTTCTGTGAAGTTCTGAAATTATGTATATCTGTTCTGTTCTAGTGCTATGAGCACAATTGGGAGCTATAAGGGGAAGTTCTGGTGCTGTACGCACAAGGGAGCTATAAGGGGAAGTTCTGGTGCTGTATGCACAAGGGAGATATAAGAGGAAAATCTGAAATCTGGAAGGAAGATCTGTTATGAAATATCTGTTCTTATTCTGATTTTATTTTCTGAATTGATATGTTCGATATGTTTCTGATATGATTTGATTCTGATTTCTGTACGATTCTGTCTGTTCTGATATGACCTATGATCTGATATGATTTCATCTGATTTCTAATTTCTGTACGTTCTATCAGCTCTGATGTGATGTATGTTTGTTCTGTTCTGATTTGATCCGATCAGTATGATTTCTGTTCTGATTTGCTCAGTACGATTCTGTTGATCTGATTTCTATTCAGATTTTTGTCTAATGTGTTTGATGTGGACTCTGAGGGTTTTGATTGAAGGTTTGTTGTCTTGCTGAGCTGTGTAGCTCATCCTTGTTTTCTGCGTGGTTTTCAGGTTCTGGAAAGGGAAGGAAGTCCATGAATAGAAGTTCAGAGTCTGATCCAGTATAGGTATTTTTGTACTTTTGATTTTTGTACAGTCATGGCTTTTCTGTTCTGCTTTTCTTTCTGTCTGAAAGCCATGACCTGTATTTGTACATGATTCTTTTGAGGAAGAAAAAGATAGATGATCTGTTCCGCTGCATTTGATATTTATAGTAGCTCTGTGTGTCTGTTTTTGTCTGTATGTTTGGAAGAAAGTTCTGAAACAAATTCCAAAGCCAGATCATGGAATCAGTTCAGTCAGTCTGAAAGTTAAGGCACCCACGACCCGGTGCGAGCGGGACCCATCCCGATCGGGTCAGGTCGTGACATTTCTTAACCTCATTAGTCCCCTCATAAGTTATACAAAGTCTATACGATATGTCATTTCCACTCTT